CCATGCAGCCTACAGACCCTCCTGAGCCTCTGGAAGCTGTCACCTCGGCCTGCGCCTCTTTTCTTTAGGGTACCGAAGGTGACGTCCAGGCGCCCTCAAACCCTCCGCAGCGCCTTTGGCCTACTCCTGCATCACAGTCTTGCCTGCGTCAGGCGGGAGCCTGGGGAGGGAGCCTCTGGAGCGTGCAGCCCGTGCACCGCAGAGCCTCTGGAAGCTGCCACCTCGGCCTGCGCCTCTTTTCTTTAGGGTCCCGAAGGTGACGTCCAGGCGCCTTCAAACCCTCCGCAGCGCCTTTGGCCAGGCTACAGCTAGCCTGTCCGAAGCCATGCAGCCTACAGACCCTCCCACCCTCCGCAGCGCCTTTGGCCAGGCTACAGCTAGCCTGTCCGAAGCCATGCAGCCTACAGACCCTCCCACCCTCCGCAGCGCCTTTGGCCAGGCTACAGCTAGCCTGTCCGAAGCCATGCAGCCTACAGACCCTCCCGAGCCTCTGGAAGCTGTCACCTCGGCCTGCACCTCTTTTCTTTAGGGTCTTGAAGGTGACGTCCAGGCGCCCTCAAACCCTCCGCAGCGCCTTTGGCCAGGCTACAGCTAGCCTGTCCGAAGCCATGCAGCCTACATTAGGTAGCAATTGCTACTGGCCTCATAGGAAGCAGCACAATGTGCATTAGCGTGCATTAGTGCCTATTAGCGTGCTCATGGACCCCTTCCTGACGCGACCACTCTTTTGGCTGGAAAAGCTGGTTGTACCTGTCTGTGGGCCGGTGGGGAAAATGGCCACTAGATGTCATCTGCATCTCCCAACAGATCGAGAGCTTTTTGACGCTTTGCGTCAAGCTCACTGCCTTCAGGCTGCTCAGCAGCTGGCTCCGGATCAACTTTGGTGAGAAAGCGGCCTTCATACTTTCGCTTTTCACCTTTCTTCTCGCCCTCTTCCAAGAGCACTTTGAAGTTGTCATTGGCGAGCACATTGACAACCGTGGCCAACTTGTCATTGTAGAAATCCTTTTGCTTCGTGGCCTTTGTGCGGACCTCTCCAGGAGATTGGGAAAAATCTTTCGAAAGAGAACGTGATCTTTTTAGGCAATAACTGGACTCAACAAGTTTGGAAACGAAACCTCTGCGTGTTTCGGTTGTTCCCAGAAAGGGCCTTATCCCCAATCACTATGGCCACCGTCGGAGAAGGAGAGTGAACTCCTGTCGGCAGCTTGGTCGGAGCTGCAGGGGCTGTCTCCTTATCCTCTTTCTTTGCCAAGGCGTCTTTTGCACTGGGCGGCGTGGAGTTGTCAGACGCCGGCTTGTACTTCGACAAGAACTGCAAGGAAGGGATCTCTCGGTCCAAGTCCTGCGCCCAACCGATTCAACGTGGCCCTATATCACCCGTGATTAGGACAGCGTGACTGATGCCAAAAGAGAACCTTTAAACTTGTCCAGCTATTTCGAAACAAAAACTTCCCTAGAGCCACCTTCGGTGGGATAGAGGCGGCCAACTTCTGCAGGGAATCCGAATGCTCTTCTTTGAAATCATCATAAGAGATCTCGGTGTAACCTGTGATGTCCACGCCTAGTTTCAATGAACTCAAATCGACAAAGATACGCTTGGCAAGGGCCGAAAGAAGGGGCTCACTGGCGCCGATCGCCATCAGCTTCTCATACTGATGCAACAACGACTTGGCAACGCTGTTCGAGACATGCTTCAAGGCTTCTGGGTCACGGCGTACCAAGGCAGCACCATGCAAAAGCTGGTTCACTGGAATTTCTTTCCAGACCGTGCTCTTGTCCATAAACATCCGGAGGGCCAGGAGCACCCATGCGCCGAGCTGCTTCGGCGGAGAAGCCAGCACCTTGGCCGAGCTTGGGCACTTGTTTGGTGGGAGATAAACCACTAAATTATACAAGCATAGACCCCATCCCAAGAGCAAACTGCTTCATCAATGATTTTTGTCGACATTGACATCGTTATTTCGGCGACACTCCGGATGAGAAAACCGGGCCACAGAGACCAGCCACAGAGTTCAGGGGTGCGGCCAAGACAAGGACAAGACCCAGACACAGAGCCGGGCCACAGAGCCCATCCACAGAGTTCAGGGGCGCGGCCAGTGAGTGTGGCCAGCTCTTTGTTTTCTAAGATAGAACCCGAACAGTAAACAGTTTGGGGAAAAAAGAGCAATAGAAAGAAATAGTACGCAGTGATTGCTAGCAGGCACGTTCTCCGGGAACCATCTCTGCAAAGATTCTAGGCGGTTGGAATCTTGCAGCATGTAAAGAACTTTCTGTGACATGGGCACGCTGCCAAAAGCAGCTTGGGCGATCTGCAGCTCATCTTTCTCGCCCTTCTCCAAATGCTCATTGTCAAGCAAGGCCTTGACAGCGAGCAAACGCTTCTCATCAGGACTGGAAAAATCTCCGCGAGCAACTGTCAACTCTTCTTTGGCCAAAGAAGTCTGGAAACTCAAGAAGAAATTGCTCTTGCGAAGCCGGGCCCACGAGGCCAGATCTAAGAAGCGCAGTCTCTGCTCCAACTCACCCTTGTCCGGCAAGGAAAGATGACTCAGAACTGCAATTGCCTGAGGGAACTGGCCACGACATGGGCCATTTGTGGGGCTGTAAACGTATTTATGCAACCTTGAGTTTGGTCCTTATGCTGGAACCCCCATGTGCCTTGGCCAAGCCTGGCAGAAACCCGTGAACAGCCTCTAGGTCTTGGAACAAATCTGCAAACTGCCTCTTATGCTCATACGCGGCTCCATCGTCGAGCAAAGATTTGGCGACACTCTTGACCACTTTCACGTTAACCGCGTGAGCTATAGCGCTAGATAGTTCGCGTGAACCAGCAGAACCTTGTTTCCAAGCCTCTTGCTGCAATGGAAAACTATATCCAAGGTCAAGGCTTGCCTGCTCCTGCTCCATGTCCAGAAAAGATTCAATTGCAGCAAGATGTCCGGTGGGGTTGAATTTCCGAGTCAGTTCGAAAATCCTGTAGGGAAATTGATAATAATCGTCATACCGAACCAGCAAGTGGATTTCAGTCACCAGCAAGGCAGTTGTGGTTTCAAGAAGGTCCAGCGACTCGTCCAGTCTCAAGAGCCCAAGAAGGTCATTCAACTGCAGCAGCGTCTTGTCCTGTACTTCCCCCTGTGCAAGGCGCACCAGTGTTGGCGCAGACGTGCGGTCAGTCGTCTTGGAAGAGGATATACTCAAGGCATGTTCAGTCAAGGACAAGCACAGTACAGCTGTACGAAGTTTCAAATCTGCAGCAGGTGTGTCGTAGAAAGCCCAAAACTTAGTCAGGCGATCCGCGTTCTCAGCGGAAGGTCTGGTTGTTGTAACTTGCAGCACCTCTTTAGTAATCCCAATCATCCGCATGCGGAGAAGTGCTCGAGCACATGCCGCAAAGTGCCAGAACCGCGTCGGTTGCGGTCTCTCCTGCAAGAAAAGCACCAAATGCGAAAGTAGCCGAAATGCTTCTTGTAAACAGGAATGCTCCTCCCCCACATTCCTCGAAACATGCGCCCACACACCAAGACCTCGATTGAAAAGCTGCAGCAACTCATCCGGAAGTGTGTCCCGTCCATACAGTCGTTGTAGATCCAAAGATTTCTGCCGTAGATTCGGCTCATGCAAGTTGCAATCGTTTGGGTCGCCCACCAGTACACGAAAGTTGCTCAACAAGAAAGAGCGCAAAGACGAGTTCAGTTCTTCCACATATTGTGGGACTATATACTTGTACCACCGGACAAGTGCAGCACATAGATCGGAATTGTCCACTGGAGCAGAAATTATCTCGCCAACTAATGCAACTAAGACCACCAGGTTAGCCACGTGCGATGCACACCGGACACACCACAGTCGCAAATCAACTCGTGTGCCGTGGTAGGATGCATTTTGCGCAAAGAAGGAGAACATCTTCTTGGCTGAGGCCAAATTTGTATTTATCCCGTCCCCAGTCAAAATGTAAATCAATCTCAGAGGTTGCGGAGGCCTTGTCGCAGGCTGGTCAAGCAGTGACACTATCACGTTCTTGGCAGTGTTTACTATAGCCTGCCCTATAGTATCAGAGTCTTTTTTCAGCAAAGGTTGTAATTCTGTGAAATATTCTATGGTCTTTCCACTGGGAAACTTCACACGCACAACCTCGTTCTGGACCTTGGAGTACCTCGCTCTCAGAGTCCGACCCACCAGCTCCGAGTCAAAAGAGCGAAGCTTCAGGGAGGCTTCATCATGCAGATGAGAAACAATGATGGCCGGCGCTTTTCCTGATTGACTCTGCCAAATTGTTGAAGCCTCAAAGGTCAACTCTGCAACATTACCTCTCTTGATTATCTCTGTGAAGGCATCCCTCACTTGGGTGATGTACGTTCTGGACAGAACCTTAGCTTCCTCAACCCCAAAGTCTTTGCACAACTCACTGAGGGACTGTGGGGGGATATTGGGTGGAGCCAGTCCAGCCCTAATACACCATACATGCTGCACTCGCCCAGCTAGTTTTTCACCTTTGATCAAATCTACTTCAGCTTGCAGCTTCTTGCACTTGTGCCGCAGCTTTGCGCAACGAGACTGAAATTGTCGCACAGTCAGCGAACTTCTCAACTTACGACGCTTGAAGGCATCCAAGTTCAAATCATGCCGCAAAACTTCAATCAGCTCCCGTGATTTCTGTATGGATCGCTCAATGTGTGCCAAAGGATGCGATGTAGCATTCTGAACAAAAGCTTGCAGCAAGTTCTGAAGCTGCCACGCTTGTAAACGCACATTGTCCGACATGGGCGGTCATAAAAGGAAATCTGAAGATACAAAAATGAAAGGCTTCTCAAACATTGAACAGACAACATTCAAAGGCTACATTGTTTTGTCATGTGCCGAAGGGCCACAGTTAGCTAGTCCAGTGATCACTTGAGTCACTCTATTTAGGTCAACCTCCTTCTGGACGCCAACTAAAACTCATACACAGCATTGAACCTTAAAAGGCTGCCTATCACATTTGAGCCTGAAAAGGCTGCCATCACATTTGAGACTACACTAACCGGGTTGTACCCAGGCGCAAGACACAATCTTTGATTCCTTGAAGGCCTGTGTGATTTGCAACCTAACCTACAGACCCTCCCGAGCCTCTGGAAGCTGTCACCTCGGCCTGCACCTCTTTTCTTTAGGGTCCCGAAGGTGACGTCCAGGCGCCCTCAAACCCTCCGCAGCGCCTTTGGCCTACTCCTGCATCGCATACGACCGTGCATAGTACTTGCGCTCCCTCGCTGCAGCCTCCTAAGGCTACAGCGCCCAGCTTCTCTCTACAGACGGGCCGCCACCGGCACTACACAAACGCCTTTAGTTACACGTGCTACACTCCTCCTGAAAGGGGGTCGGCGGCACCCGGGCGAAGCCCTTACAATTAGTATGGTAAACATGGTATAGTGGTATATGGTATGGCTGGTATGGTATATACTAACGACAAAGTATGGTATAGAGGCACAAGTTATCCCAAGTTTGGCAATCTGTCTAAGACATCTTGGGGTGCCAATGCCATATGAGTAATGTGCTACTAATCATTGCTCTGAAACCACTGTAATTGATGCTAAAGGTTCTTGGATGCAATGCGGGCTCGCTTGTTGGGCCATGTGCCAGTCAGTCAGGTTACTTACGGTAAGTGAGGCAAGAATTCTTTCTCTCGGCCTGTGGATATGCGCCCACCAACCGCAGCAAAACTTCCCCATGTCTTTTTCCACCCCCCAAAGAAGGAATTCCTTTCATATCGCTCCTTTTTTGGAAGACCAACTTGGAGACTCCAAAAACCAAAAAACAGAGCGCGAATCACATCACATCACCAACGTTGAGGGCTCCAAACTCCAAACACTCTGCTCATCCAGGCCACCGACGTCTCCACCGCCCGTCCTGCCTGCCCAAGGCCCAGATCCCCACGGCATGGAGCCTCCGGACGGACGGATATGGAAGCGTTGGTAGGACGTGGGTGACATGGGGATTCCGCCGTGGGGATCAAAAGAGCCCACCGCTGCTGAAGGTTCTGGCCTGGCATGGCCAGAAAGACCCTGTGAAGTTGGAGATGTATCTCTCTCTCTCTCTCTCGGCAGCGTCTGGCTACAACGCAGTATATGTTGATATCATGTTGTCAAAAAGTGTTATGCACTGACTTGCATGAATTTCCCTGTCTGTTCGACCTAGTGGAGGTGCAGATCCTCCAAGCGCCAAGATGCAACCAAAGCTGAGAGGTCAAGCCTAAGGCCTCGCATCCCGAACGTATCATGACCTAGGGATCCAAGTGCCTTCTCAGCAGGTGATTGGAGACACTGTTATGTAGGTTTGGAGAGTCCAAGTACCTTCTGAGAAGGTACTTGGATCCCTAAGGATGGTATAGATCTATAGATGTCACCCATGTGTAACTGACGTCCCGTACAGACTCTCGTGCGGCTGAGTGAACATTCGAAGCAGGCCCTGAGAAAATGCCACGATCGAACCATCACAGACCCGCCATGTGTGGGATCTGGAATTAACTTAGGGTTTAGGGTTTAGAGTCTCGTTATAGTGGCAGGGCCCGCTGCCATCTGTGGGTGGGTCATGCTGCCCGCACCCCGGCAGAAGATCACCAACTACGTGCCTCAACCGTTAAGGAAGTATACATATAATATATACCTAGAACCTGATTGACCCCCGCGTGGGGGCCCAAACAAAGTCTTTTCCTATCAAAACAAAGGTCAAATGGGTTCTAGGTATGCCTGATATGGGTGATTGATGGAATTTGATTTGGCTCCATCTACGGCCACTGCTGAACAATGCTTTGCAAGCTCACTATCTGAAGTAATCCTTGAAAAAACGATCTGTACCAACAAAATTGGTTCAATAATTGAAGTTTCATGTGGTTTGATGTATCTCTTTGGTCTGTCCTATTAATTACCACTAACAGTGGATGATGATGATGATGATGATGAGCAGTATATAAAGACCTTTATCGAAATAGTCCTGTTTTACTGACGGCTCTACCAGGTAAGCTCTGATAGACCCAAGATATCTCTGGATCCTCGATCCTCCGCCATCTTTGCTGCAAACAGAAGTCACCTTAGCTTGCCCTAGGGCTCCAAGTACCTCCTCAGAGGGTATTTGGACCCTCTAAACCACCCCCAAACACCTTCTCTGAAGGGTTTTAACCCTCTACACCCGTCGAGCCGAGCCGCGGGCGCACGCTTCCCCGAAGGATTCGGCGACCACCGCCGGTGGTTGATGCCGGTGGTCGTGTGTGAAGTTCCGCGCACCTCCGGTATCGGGGTGCGGGCAAAATAGCAAGGAGAGTGCCTATTAATCATGTTCTGCATGTCTCCTCAAAATCTACGGCTACGGTTGGGTTCAATACCTTCTTCTGATGCACTGGATGTCACGTGTTTTGAACCTTCCATCCGTCCGTTCCTGACAGTTTTGGGTCCAATTACTGACAGTTCGTTTTGCGTGCTCTCACCCTTGCCCCCCACCTTTTTGGCACCAGCTCCATGCTGAGTGGAGATCCGGATGCATGCCATCAGCGACGAGTTCAGCGACGATGCGCTCGTTGGAACATCGGAGCTCCCGGATCTTGCCACTTAGGGAATGAGGGTGGCTGCCCCCCCCACACGAGATTACATTGGGTCCATTTCCAACCTCCGACTTAAGCATCCTCAGGAGTCAAACGGAGCTACTAGTAACAAGGAACTACTATTAACATAAGTGCATCGCTACTAGTAACAAGTGCATTACTACTAGTAACTTAAATAGCTACTATAGTATCTATAGTAGCTTCTTAACCACATTCCAGTCAGTCGTGGGATCTGTCTGTGGTCAAAGGCTGGGTGAAGAAACTTGGCTGGGGCATTCTGGACCCGGAACCGCGAACAAGCCGTGGCGCTGCGCGTTTAGACCGGAGGTGACAGCGCTTAGACCGTCTAAATATAATCTGAAGCTACGTCAGTCATGAAGCTGCTGCAAGGCTGCCTAGGGACACCTTGAAGCTGATCCTTCTCAGGATTCCCTAACTGTCAGCTCAAGCGGTCGTGGAAGAAGTATAGTGCTGTAGCTGTACACGGGTGCTGGGTGAAGGGCGGCATTCGGCGAGCTCGGCGAAAGGAAGGTGCTGACTCCCTCAGTCTCTCTGAGGTTAAACATGTTTTCACCTGCTGGATTGAAGCATGGAAAAAGCATTGACAACAAGCATTGACCCCAGTAAAGGATTTGGAAGCTTAATTATCCAGGTCATCCACCCTTCCGGAAGGTGTCACAGTCGTTCGTCATCCTAGATGAAAGAACTCCGATGTACCCTCAAGCCCCTTTTTGAAGTAAGTGTTGTGGACAGTCTAGCAGTGGGCAAGACCCAAGCTTCCACTCTTTTCTGGACATCCCTGCCTTAGCACCAATAGGAAAAAAGAACCACATCCCTTCAGCACTCTGCCAAATAAAACTCACTCTTCAAATCACTCTGGATTTGGTATAAAAATGTAAAGGGGGGTTGGAGTGGTTCGAAAACATCCCCATCGCCACACCCCAAATTGGAGAAACATGTTGCCACTCAGAACGAACATGGACACACATGGCATGCTACAGATGTGCAAAAAAGGCTCCACACATATTTGACGTCATTCCATGACGTTGAAGATGTCGATGCAAACGGACCCGAGTCTAACACACATGGAAGTCATGGAAGTGCTTGAAGGACCGAAAACGACAGGATGCTACCATAGGCTTAAAAGGTTTTAAATGTCCCAAGAAAACTGGAGAGCGGAAAACACACACCCCGTATCACGTCCTTTTCTGAAAATCCTGAGGGGTTCCTTCAATCCTTCCACGTTTGGAGAGGATCGTTTCACATGTTCCAGAACATGCAGTTTTCCAGCCAGATCTGCAACTTGAGCTGTGAGATCCCAAAGAGGAAAACAAAAACACATGGAAGTCTGTGGCAGGGAAAGCAGCGGTAAGCAGTGTATGAGTTCCCATCTGATCAGCTTGTTCGGATTCCGGTTCTGCATCTCCCCCCACGCGCCCGGTGACATGAACCCCGCGGTACCGCCCGGAGCGGCGCGCCGCGAGCGCGGCACTTGCTGACGGGGTCGTCCAAGTCGATGTTGCGCTCGGTCTCCTCGTAGTAGGTGCCGAAGGCGACGGCCTCGGTCGGACCACAGGGGGTGCGGGGTGCGGTCAGGATGCGGTCAGGATGGGTCAGGTGCCGGAAGGTGAAGGTCAATTCCGGATCCCGGTGCAAACAGCAAACCCCTTTGCGACCACTAAACACCAGTCAGTGCGGGATTGTATCACACATGTTGCGGTCTCTTCTTGCGGGGCGGTTCTCAGTCAGAAGTGGGGTGAAAGGCCAAGAACACTATTAATATAATTTTTTTGCTTGGTAACCGGGGTTCCAGTTTACAACCAGGGTTCCACAAAATCTTTGCA